TTTTCTTTGTTGAGAATTTTTTTAATGTGAATTTGGTTGTCAATAGCCATAACTACTTTATTATTTGATATGATTGGTCCAAATATAATATCTTTTTTAGCTTCATATATTATTTGCTCATTAAAACAATCTGTAATATCTATAATATTTATTGAATTATAGAGATCCAATAATTTACAATTGTATTTATTTCTATTATAGAATATCACTAATAAATATACCAATTGATTTTTTATATAAATAAAATCTAATTTTTTAATAGATATCTTTTTTCCCAATTTAACTGTAAAATAAAAAAAAATGAGTATATTTAATGTGTTGTTGATAAATAAACAAATAAAAGAAAGATAAATTTTTATTACAATACTTACATGAAGAAATAGTAATGCTATCTTTTAATGAATAAACTGTTATTTTTGAATTGTCTTTATAATACAATGCCATTATTGATTTGTCATGATTAAATATTATGTTAGTATGATTTCTTTTATGTTTTAGATAACAATTATCCTTATGTGACATAGTTGTTGAATTCCATATTGATAATGATGAATGGCTCTTTAATATAATATAATCAGAATTTACAAAAAAAAATAAATCTCTATAGTATTCATTATGATAATTGTAAATGTAATATGTTGATTTGAGAGATAATTTAATATTTTCATTATTGTCATCATTTAAATATGAAAAAGTGTATAAATAACAATTATAATCTAGCATTATTAAATCATTATTTGTAATGAAACCCCCTTTTATAAATTTATGCATTTTATCATTAATTGTAACATCACAATATTTCCCTTTTGAAAAATCAATTAACCCTAGAAAATTAACTTTAATGTGAATTTATTATCATTATTGCTTATAAATAATAATACATTTATATTTACTTACTGTAAAATTTAAACTCAAAACCTATAAGTTCTACAAGTATATATTTATTATCTGAAACATCTTCTATATGTAAATTATCCTTGTGAACTTTCCAGTCAGAATATTCAAAATAATTATCTTGATTATCTTGTTGAATAGTCTCTTTGACATGATCAATTGTCCATCCAGCAATGGATTGATCAAGTTTACTTAAAGTTACTAAAAACTTATAATCAGGACTGTACTTCATTTCATCAATGGGACATCCATTATGTGTATTGATTATGGCGTCATTTGCAGTTGGATTGTTAATGGAAATTCTATCTGGATTCTCTACTGTCACTATTTCCATAAGGCCATTATTTTCTGTCATTTTTAAAAAGAATTCATTAATTTAAAAGTGAATAATAATAATAATATATTAATCGTGATACTTTTTTATTTTTTTTGGTGATTTAATAAAGAAACGGAATTTTTTAATTTATTTGTTTTATATATTTACGCAAAATTTCAAATGAGTAATACTTTTTTGTCAACAAATTTAAGGTTAACTATTCTAAATAAATGAAAATAGAACGATTTGATTCTATACATTATCTTTTTTCTTTTTTTTAGTGTTGAGTGGGAGTCAGGAATATGAAATTCTTGAATGTTTATTTTTCTTTTATCTTTCCATCGATCCAAACTTGAACCTTGATCAAAATCATCCTTCCCATTAACAATTTTCATGGTTTTAAGTATTTCAAACTATGGTAAAATAAAAACAATCAATTGGCAAAAATTTGAAATTTTTAAAATATATAATAAGGTTAGACCTTACCTTTGCATATAATTTGTATTTTTTTAAGTGGTATCAAAGATATAATATATTTTGGCATATATAAGATTAAAATAAAAATGAACCAAAATGGTATAGTCAGTCATCTCAAAAAGAAAGTATAATTGTTTAAGAAAAAATTTTGCTGATTTGAATTTGTTATTATGGAGCTCATAGCATAATTCCCATTATGCATAAATAAATATATGTTTATAAATATGTTTAAATATTTGTATTAAACTTATTAAACTTGAATAAATTAAACATAATAACAGTTGCTAGTTTATTATAAATCAAATAATAAATTTCCAGGAATTTGTACTAATTAAAGATTTTGTTTTATTAAAAAAATTTTTTAAATATTTCTAATATATATCATTCACCTGATTTAGGTTTGTAAAAATATACTATGAGTAGCAAATAGTGGGTGCAATGGTATATTAAAATATATTTGCTTATCTCAATGGCAATATTCATCATCTATATATTTATAATTATAATTCATTATAATTCATGGTTATTATTCTTTTAGTATATTTAAAATGGACAATTAATCAAGAAACTGACCTTGATAAAATTATAGTTGTGCATATATGTATATTAAATCACAAGCTAGACAATTATTCTCATTTTCCAATGAGAAGTAAAGTACATTTGAATCAGGTGATTTATTTTTCTGATATTCCTCGTCAGCTGCTTTTGATTCTTCTAATGATATGTGATCAACAGTAAACTATAAAAAAATAATATTTATGCTTTGATAATCATGCGTGTAACTAATAGTAAATCCCATTTGGAAGAAAGGAAATATTAATACAATGTTATATATTTAATAAGAATTATTATTAATATATTATTAAAAAAATTTTTTGTTTAATCAAGTTCAAGTTTAATATAAATATGTTCAAATATTTATATTAAACTTGAATAAGGGTTATAATAATTCATACCACTCTACTAGTTAGTTATAAATTAATAAATTTCTAAGAGTTAAGATTTTGTTTTATTTATTTGATTTAGGTTTGTACATTAATGTAAAAATATATTATGAATAACTAATAGTAAGTGCAGTATTTGGTATATTAAAATATTTGCTTGTTTCAAAGACAATATTCATCTACCATATATTTATAATTATAATTAGTGATTATTATGACAATGACAATTAATAAATTTATAATTTATATGACAGTGAATGTGCTCAAGTCTTTTATTTTTTACAATTATCAATTGATTTTTTCAATGTGAAAAGCCCATTTGATTGACTTCTCTATCGCTATTGCTGAGTTCTGTTCTTTATTTGATGCATGATTTCTCCATTTAAACCTCCCTCACTTTTGTGCATGCAAATGTGAGCGATCCGAGTTTCGCTTTTAATGCATTTGACTAACCGATTTTGTTAATCATCTGCAACGCAACCGGTTTGTTCAGCATGCAACAAAAACAACGTA